TCCCACAGTCTTGCAATGCTCTAAACAATGTTTCTAAACTCTAAAAGAGCCCAGAATGTCATGAAATCAGCTCTCTGCTTCTGGCTGCTCTCTGCCATCTGCCAGTGCTCTCGGCCACGCCCACTTCTTCCATGCAGAGCGGAGATATGACATGCTGCAGGAGGGAGCTTCTCCTGCAGCTATGGGCTGCACACAGGTGCAGCAGATGCTAAATAATTTAAAACATTTTATTTTAAATAAAAATTACATGACAATTGTGCGGCTCATCCATTAATCAGACAATTGTGTGTCATGTCTGATCTTACTTTGAAAAACCATGAAGTAGTGAGTCCGCGAAAAACGAACCACAAAGTAGCGAGGGACTACTGTATCTACAAAAAACAACAATCCTCTTTGGTCTTGTTCCACTTTGGACTAGTCATTAGCTTGTCAATCATGTAAGAATTAAACTCTATTTTGCCAAACTGAGGTTATTCAAAGATATTTCTACAGCAGCTAAGATATTATTTGTTCATAACCTTTCCACAGAACCCCACTACAAATTATCTAAACCATCCCTTTAAGGATAATTTTGTAACCATGCAACGGTAAACACATGACAAAGAATTATTTTCTCTCTTTTTTTTTTGTTGCTAGACTTTAAAAGTAACTACACATTTTTCATATTTTAACAAATTTGATTATTTAACTGAAACCACGATGACCATGAAACAATCACCTATTATTGAACAGAATCTTCTGTGTTACCTTAAAATTACTCTCCCGTGTGACTAATTTTCTTTTGTCCATTTCTGAATTCTTTAGGCTACATAAATGTGAAGGAATATATATAATATTTAAATAATAAATGCACACTGATTTTCTTTTACCTTATTATGGACATAATGGAGTCATCAAGAAATCTAATGCGATACTGAAGATATATTTAAGAACAGAAGAAAACAAGAAGCTCCAAATCCCTTGCTCAGATGTGGGTCACTGGGGCCCCACCTAGGAGCCAAGTCTGAGGGAAGGGTTCATCGGTGCGACAAGGCCTCTGCTAATGTGCCTGGTCAAGCTCAGCCTGAATGGGCTTCATGGGTTCACCTTCCTGTGAGCTTATTATCTGCAAGAGGGGCCATACAAGTAGAGTGCCAAGTGCTATGGGTGTCAACCAAAGGCAGTGGCTTCAGCGCTCTGCCCCTAGCATACTGAAGCTGGTCCTTGGTTCACTGAATGTCACCTTATTGATGGGGACGAAGCCTGTGCTTGTGAGTGAGGCTGCATTATCAACTAGATAATATAAGGTTCACCTTAACTCATGGTTCTGGAACCAATCTCCTTGAGAGGGGCTGAAACTTATTCCAATTTGGAATTGCCTATGGTGGCCTCCCACCATAGGCAGTCACCAGTCTAGTGTGGGCCTACATATAGTCCTCTGACTTGTGGCATGTGCATTAGAGTTTTCCCCTGTAGCTTCCCTGCACCTTTGGGTGGGGGGACGAGCTCTAACTGTTACATGTCGCTATGCATCGAACAGCATTTCAGCGCACCCACCATTTTTGGAATCCTATTGGGGGTGCTGAAAGGTGCTCCTGCTGAGGACTCCCTTAATCTGACTTTAATGCCTACGGGTAGTGACAGTGTAACCTTGAGGGGTATGATCCAAAAAGGGAGTGAGGTGCTGCCTTAAGTGGAATCATTTAAGTATCTGAAGGTTTTGTTCACAAGTGAGGAAAGAATGGAGCGTGAGATCAATAGTAAGATTAGCATGACTTTGCAGTATTGTGTACGCTGTGTCAGTCTGTTATGGTCAAGAGGCAGCTGAGCAGCAAGGAGAAGCTCTCTGTTTACTGGTCAGCCTACATTCCTACCCTCACCTATGGTCACAAACTCTGGGTAGTGACCGAAAGAATGAGATTGCGGATACAGGCGGATGAAACGAGTTTTCTCCGCATGTGGACTCTCCCTGTAGAGATAGGGTGAGAAGTTCAGTTATCTGGGAAAGACTTGAAGTTGAACCACTGCTCCTCATCGACAGGTGGTTTGGGTAAATAAGGATGCCCTCTGGACGCCTCCCTATTGAGATGTTGTGTTCAAGTCCAACTGGGAAGAAACCCCGAGGAAGACTCAGAACTGGAGAGACAAAACCCCCTTCTCCGTGGTTTCAACACCCTTCAGTTCAGTTCGACACCACACCAGTTAAGAATGTCTCAATTGACAATTCCGGCTTGATTTACTGTGTGGTACCACCTCATCCGTGGTTCCAAGCGTACAGCTCTCAGCAGACAATATGGATCTCAGCTGCCCCGGGAATGCCTTGAAGTCTTCCCAGAAGATCTGGAAGAGGTGGCTGTGGAAAGAGATGTCTGGACCTCCCTGCTCAAGCTGCTGCTACCACAACACAGAATGGATGAATGAAACAAGAAAGCCTTTGTGACTGGTTCCATATCTAAAATTAGCCTATCCATGTCAGGGCATATTCTTGCCATACAGTATATTTAACCTAAGAAGGAGTTAGATTGAAGGGTTTTCAGCCTACAAGGCATAAAAATAAAATCTGTGACTGAGCAGGAGAATAAATAATGAGCTCTTTAGTGCCTCTGGGTTAAATTTAACCAATATGTCAACAGCAAATGGAATAAAAAAACGAAGCAAAATACCCTGATGCATGCTCAATAATCCAGGTAGAAAAATCTAAAAAAGTTAAATCTGGTCCTCTGGACATTCAAAAACGTTCAGGGATGAAGATGTTCACATCCTGGACAGAGAGGAACGATGGTTTGAGAGAGGAGTAAAGGAGACCATATTTGTGAAAAGAAATCGTCCATCATTAAACAGGGGTGGAAGCCTCCGGGTTCAACTCTCCCCCTCTTACAATGCTGTGATTGCTAGTATCACTCAGCCCTCTGTGAACAGTAAACAGCCATCAGTGTGCTAATGATCCATTGTTAGGCTGATGATCCTTCTTGAGCATGTGATCAGCTGGTTTTGGTTGTCAGCAGCAAAACTGGTTGATCCACTCTGAGAAGGTGCTATTTAAGAGACTGAGCTGAATACAGCTCCTCAGACTGAGGAAGTCTCTCGGATGAGAGACGAAATGTTTTTCTACATTTTTTTATTGATTTGCTTTGTTTTGTTTTTTTGAATGTCCAGAGGACCAGATTTAACTTTTTTTAGAAGCAAAATACCTTTTATACAGTATAGGGGATGGACTTTTTTATGTGACAAAACTAAAATAATTTGGACTAAAAACTTTCAATCAACTTAAATTTTGTGCACTCACACTCGTCCACCACGATGAGGGTGAAGATGGCGCTGTGGTTCCTGCCTTTCTCTTTGGGATTGCGCCCATAACAAGTGTACTGGCCTGCGTCCTCAAAGGTGATGTTCCACAACAGGATGGAGACGTTGTTTTTATGGTTCTTCCCCACAAACTCCACTCTATCTCTAAATATCTTCACCGGCGGCTCCACCTCCTCCGAGGCTATCTCTGCTTCACACACCTGACAGAATCAGCAAGCTGTCAGCCATCCAACAATACCACCACCGAGTTATGCAGATCAGATTGGAAGTCTTTCAGGTAAGCGTTTACCTTCGTCATGGTGCCGTTGTCATTGAATTGCCAGTTGAAGTAAAGGTTTTCAATGCCGATACAGCTGGCGTACGAGCAGGGCAACATGACGGTGCTTCCATTCACCGCCTCCAGGAAGGGAATCTTCCCCACAAGCATCTCCAGACCCTGAGCAGACCACACATCTGAGGAAGAGGAGCAACAGATTATAACACATACTGCCTTCTATTGCACCACTGTGAGGAAAACATGAAACAAAAATTTTAAAACCATTTGAATCAAAGGAATCTAGACTACCATAATCTTTGATGTTAATGTGGTTGTGTCCATACTATTTATCTTTATACACTTACCCCATGTAATTAAAGGGATAGATGAAAACTTTCAAAATGAAGTTGTGTGCACTATCTCTGAATAATCAGTGTCTTACATGTAGCTGAGAACTGCTGACTTAATGTCAATAATTCCAATAATGAATGCCAATAATTTAATTTACCACATAAAAACTGTAAATATGTGATCAGTTTTACCTCTGAAACACTAGAAAAGTTAAATGCATTTAATTACAATTACAGCTGCAATGAAGGTAGTAACGAGCATTATTGCTGCGCTTGATGAGAAACAACATTGTGCATCAGTCTATAGATTTGTCTGAAGCAGTTGATACTGTTGATCATGGGATTTTAAAACTTAGGCTTCTGCATTCAAGACTTTTAAGAAAAGGCAATTGCTTGGTTCACAAATTACCTCAGCAACAGAACTCAATGCATCAAATGCGATGGTCTGTGTTCTGAATGTTGTCCACAAGGGGGTGCCACAGGGTTCAGTACTCGTTCTCCTCTTATTCATTATCTACTGTATATAAATGATCTGGGTCTGAATGTGTCAGACGTCAATTTATATATTTATGCTAATGACACACTTATTTCCTGTTGTGCATCAACTCTTGTTCAGGCAATTGATTCTTTGCAGAAAGCTTTTGAAGTTATACAGAACTCATCATTACAACTGAAGCTTGCTCTTAATCAGGGTCAGAGTCAGAGATTCTTTACTGTCATTTGCACCACATGTGGTACATGTGGTGGAACGAAATTATGTACACAGGGTCCCAGTTACATCCAACAATAAAATGTAAAAGAAAAACAGTAAAAAGATCTAAGATATGAACTAAGAAAAACATCAACGAAAAATACACTAAGCACTAATAGAAACATTATGTCGAACAGCAGCACAAACATGAGCATGAGTGTGTGTGAGCAGATGAGCACGCATGAACACAGCAACATGAAACAGGTCAGCAGCAACATGATGTGATTTTTCACAGTGATTATTCTGGTTAGAGAGTCATGAGTCTAACAGCCTCAGGGTAGAAGCTGTTCCTCAGTAATGCAGATAAGACTAATCTTATGCTGTTTTCTAAATCCAGAAATTAATTTTCAAACAATTCGCTCAGTGACCACCTTGGAAGGAAATGAAATAGAAGATGTTCATAAATACCTTGGTGTTTTGATTGATAACTCTTTCACTTTTAACCCCTGTGTAGAGAAACTTAAACGGAAATTGAGATTAAAGCTGTTTTTTTTTTTTTTTTACAAAATATTGTTTTTCTTTCTATCTTTGATGCTTCATATCATGCTGCTCTCAGGTTCATCACTAACTGTAAAGCACTAACATGTCACTGTGTTATACTCTCATGTGGGATGACCTGCTCTGGCCACTGCAAGGAACAGTCATTGGCTTGTTTTTATGCAATACTGTACTTGGATTACTACCTTTATACATATGTAATTTAATTGTACAGAAAAATGATTTTTCTTACTTTTCCATTCATGTGACATTTTGTTGCTCTCAGTTCCATTTGCCTGTACTGAAATGGGTCAAAAGTATATTATTTATTCTGCACCTTTTGCATGGAATACGTTGCAGAATGACCAGAAACTAACAGATTTAGTATCCTTGAGAGCTTTTAAATTGATACTGAGGAGATTTGTCCTTAATTCCATGTACATATTAAATGTATAGTAATGTATTTCATATTCTCATGATTTTTATTTCCTTTTCGTAATTTAATGTTGTGCTTGCTGCTGTCTTGGCCAGGACTCCCTTGAAAAAGAGGTTTTTAATCTCAATGGGATATTTTCCCTGGTAAAATAAAGCATCTAGCAAGGAAGGAATTGTTTGCCCTGGAGATGTAAAAAAAAAAGGTAAATAATACTAATTCTGCAAAAGTTCTAAAATTTCAGTGCCAACCAATGAGAAATTAGAGTAATGCATTGTCTCTATAGATATGTTTTGTTCTTCCATAAAGTAAGCAATTATCTCCAACATTTCTGTGACATGAGTGTGTGTCTGAAAAGCTCAGTGCTCTCCAGAGTACTTGAGTTTGTTTCTTTGTGGCATAAACTCTACTTCTATTTCTTTTGCCACTTGAATGTTTTTGTTTTTAAAATGACTTGATGCCCAAAGTTCAAGACTGACCCATTGATTAAATTTGCTCCTAAAAGCCCTCCTTAAACTAACCTGAGACCTCCATGAGATTTCCTTTGATTATTCAAACTGAAATGATTCTGAATTCAGTCTGCTGCAGGTAAGATACTGACTACACACAGTTACTTCAGCCAACTCTATTTTAAAACATTTAAACTATCCCTTTAAAAGCTTTATTGTGTTGCATCTATTTTGTTTCCCTAATATGGAATTTAACTAGATTTGCAATTTTATAATAAATTACATTTCTACAAAAATACTTTAAATTAATGAAGTTGAATTGGGGGGAAATAAGTCCAACACAACAAAGCTTACTCTTGAATGCTACTATTTTAATATTGATTTTATAGCAAAAAGACTTATGTATTTGTTTTACTCCCTGTTAAACATAATGACAGTATCTTTGGGTACATTCTGCCTTCATGCTCTCCTGTTATTGGCGTTGAAGAAGTGAAAATGTCAGTAACAGAACCGCACCGTGTCCTTGCTGTGACATTACTGTCAGTAAGAGAGGATGCAGTCTGCTTGTGCTATTTGTGAAAAGTGGAACTCTATACGAGGGTCGGGACGATGTAGCAATTTAGTTTTACCTCATCTAATCTGTACAAAAAAAGGAGGAATAAAACAGTCAAAGGCAAGTAAATGTAATTGTTTTTCCTTATTTTTTGGTAAATTTAGCAGAACTCCGGTTCAGCAGTTTAATTTCCAGCAGCTGAAGGACAAACAGAAGGAAGGAGAGTGTGATGAGTGGTTTCAGGCACAGCTGTAACATGTTTTTTGTTATTTCTAACGTCCCTGTGATTCTGCCCCTTGTTTGAAGCACACTGTGTTACAAACCATATGGTCAAGGTCAACGTGAGGCAAACACCACAGCAGCATTTAGGAGGGACTCTGCTCAGACCAGCAGAGGAGGCTAAAATCAACAGAGAGCATGTTGTAATCTGGGAAAAACATTTTGTTACCTCCAACACTGCAATGAGGTTCAGTAAGTTTGGGAAGACAACTGCAGAAGAATATGATCTGCATTGATACTCGTTTAAATCATTTTGACAATTGATCTTAATTTTCCACAATACAGTGGTGCTTGATAGTTTGTGAACTGTTCATAATTTTGTATATTTCTGCATAAAAATGACCCTAAATATCATCAGATTTTACCATAAGGTCACTAATCTGGGGGTGATAATGGACCCATCCTTAAAACTCAACAGTCACGTAAACATGATGGTCAAATCCTGTTTTTTTCAGCTGAGACGGCTGTCTAAGCTGAAGCCTATACTCTCCAAAAAGAACCTTGAGACAGTGATCCACGCCTTCATAACATCTAGGCTTGATTACTGCAATTCACTCCTGTTTGGAATCAGTCAGTCCTCCATTGCTCGTCTACAACTGGTCCAAAATGCTGCAGCCCGATTTTTAACTGGTACAGGCTATAGAGAGCACATCATGCCAGTTTTGGCCTCCCTGCACTGGCTACCCATTCACCTTCGGATCCATTTCAAAATTCTCATGTATGTTTTTAAATCACTGAACAGTTCCGCCCCATCCTATCTCACTAATCTTCTGCAGCCATATGTCCCACCGCGCTCTCTGAGGTCAGCAGACCAGATGCTTCTCTCAGTCCCAGAAACCCGTCGTAAGCTCAGAGGTGACAGGGCTTTCTCTGTTGCAGGTCCACGACTGTGGAATGAGTTGCCACTGAGTGTCCGGCAGGCTCCCACACTCTCAGTCTTTAAGTCTCGCTTGAAGACCCACTTCTATTCGCTTGCCTTTAACACGGTGTGATTTGTTTTGGTCCGGTCTGTTCTCTACTCTGTTGGCCATTTTAGTTAGCTTCTGCTGCTATTTGTATCTGTATTTCTATTTTATGTTTTCCTGTCTGCTGTGCATGTTTGTGTTCTTTTGTACAGCACTTTGGTTGGCCTTGTTGCTGTTTTAAGTGCTATATAAATAAATTGGTATGGTATGGTATAAGTCCTAAAAGTAGATAAAGAGAACCAGTTAAACAAATGAGAGAAAAATATACTTGGTCATTTATTTATTGAGGAAAATGATCCAATATTACATGCAGTATTTATGAGTGGCAAAAGTACGTGAACCTCTAAGATTATCAGTTAATTTGAAGGTGAAATTAGAGTCAGATGTTTTCAATCAATGGATGATGATCAGGTGTGAGTGTGCACCCTGTTTGATTTAAAGAACAGGATCTATCAAAGTCTGCTCTTCACAACATGTTTGTGGAAGTGGATCATGGCAGGAACAAAGGAGATTTCTGAGGAGCTCAGAAAAAGAGTTGTTGATGCTCATCAGGCTGGAAAAGGTCACAAAACATCTGTAAAGAGTTTGGACTCCACCAATCCACAGTCAGACAGCTTGTGTACAAATGGAGGACATTCAAGACCATTGTTACCCTCCCCAGGAGTGATGGACCAACAAAGATCACTCCAGAGCAAGGAGTGGAATAGTCATCGAGGTCACAAAGGAGCCCAGAGTAACTTCTAACAACTGAAGGCCTCTTTCACATTGACTGATGTTAATGTTCATGAATCCACCTTCAGGAGAACTCTGAACAACAATGGTGTGCACGGCAGGGTTGCAAGAAGGAAGCCACTGCTCTCCAAAAAGAACATTGCTGCTCATCTGCAGTTTGATAAAGATCACGTGGACGAGCCAGAAGGTTGTTGGAATGATGTTTTGTGGACGGATGAGACCAAAATAGAACTTTATGGTTTAAATGAAAAGTGTAGAAAGGAAAACTCTCCATTCCTGCATAATAACCTTCTCCCGTCTGTGAAACATGGTGGTGGTAGTTTCATGGTTTGGACCTGTTTTGCAGCATTTGGGCCAGGATGTCTTGCCATCGTTGACGGAACAATGAATTCTGAATTATATCAGAGAATTCTAAAGGAAAATGTTGAATTGAATCTCAAAAGAAGGTGGATCAGACAGCAAGACAATGAATCTAAGCGGTTCTACCAAAGAATGGATCAAGAAGAACAAAGTTCATGTTTTGGAATGACCAAGTTAAAGTCCTGACCTAGGTGATGTCCACATTAACAAGACAAATCAAGCCTTATCTTTGGAACCACTCATGATCAGTATCAACATGTTTATTAAAAAGCCAGGAATCTGAAAATATGCTTTTTAAATGTGATGGGTCAAAAATTTATCAACCACCACCTTGAACAGCAGGCGGTAATGTAGTTTGTGTCTGTTTGAGTGTGTTTACTTTGGATTTTAATAAAACTCTCAGAACTTCATCAGTGGCTGTTCATCTGCAACTGATTAACTTTTGAAGACGACTTGTTTCAAGATGGCTGCCACTGCTAATCAACCTTAGCAAACACAAAAACGGCTAAAACTAAGTCAAGTCTTCAAATGTTGGACTAAAACTTGGTGGTAGCTGAGAGTGATCTAAAATTCATCCTCTGAGCTAACAAATAGAATGACATCTAACTTGGGTAGTCAACGCTGTCTGTTAGCAAAATATTTCATGAAGCAGAGGACAAAATCTATCCATTGGATGTGCATCCACAACTAATTAACGTTTGGATTTAACCCAAATCAAGATGGCCACCACAGCTGATTGATCTTAGAGAACCTAAAAGTCTTGGCTCGGAGAGTTTCCCAGATATTGAGCTAAATATTAGTGTGGTAGTAGCTGACAGTCACTTAATACACATACTCTGAGTCCTGACAGATTGCTTCTTATTAAGATTTCATCAAAACTGTTGCTAAAACTGCTGACAAAAGAGAAAGAACAAGTAACTTTTAGTTTTGTCCTCGACACAGTTTTTTAGTCTGACATACCTTTTTCACTTCTCTCTTTCAAGAAGAGTATTTTGCAAGTCGTTAGATAAAAGTGGAACAGTGGTGCTCCAGTTTCTATTCTACGTGTGTCAAATGTAGACCTTTATTTAGTTGAATTCAAAGAGGAATGTCCAGAGCATTGTTCTGAAGAAAGCTATGGAGACAACGAGGACAAAAAGATAGTATACAGTATATATATATATATATTTTTTTTATACACACAATTATTTGAAAGCACACGCTGTCTGTGAAATTTAAAGCTTTTGTGCAAGGCTCCAAAAGAGTAAAATTTAGATGACAAATATCCTGATGCATGCTCAATAATCCAGGTAGAAAAATCTAAAAAAGTTAAGTCTGGTCCTCTGGACATGGCAAATGTATTTTTGACCCGCTATCTTAACATTTCTGGTTTTAAAGGGATAGTCCAGTCATTCTTGAAGTGATGTTCTATCCGATATTTATCAATAGTTAGTATATTATCAATCATAGAGTACAAATTATGGAGAAGCATGTCTTCCTTCTGGCTAGGCTAATGGATAACCAAATGAGGGTCTGATTATTTTTGTCATTTATCAGGCTTATAAAACAACTTTCTAACAAACAACCGGTATAAAAGAATTCTACATCAGCTAAAAAATGGCTGTTTTATAAACCTTAAAAAAATAAAAAGTGGGTCCTAGCCATTACCATAGGCAGAAAGAAGACTGATGCCCTTTTCTCCATAGGCCTACTACTCCATGCTCTGTGACTGATGTCTGATAATGCACTAACTATTGATAACTATTAGAACAATGTGTCCTGATGCATGTTCAATAATCCAGGTAGATAAATCTAACAAGGTTGAGTCAGGTCTTCTGGGCGGATTCTTCTTTGTTGAAATGTTTCGTAACCGTCCATCATTAAACGGGTGGAGGCCTCTGTGTTCAACTGTCCCCCTCTTACAATGCTGTGATTTCTAATATCACTCAGCCCCCTGTGATTAACAAGCAGCCATAAGGGCACTAACGATCAGTTGCTAAGCTGATGGTCCTCCTTGATCATGTGAGCAGCTGGTTTTGGTTGTCAGCAGCAAACTGGTTGATCCACTATGAGAAGGTGCTATTTACAAGACTGAGTTTGTTGCAGCTCCTCAAACTGAACAAGTCTTTTGGATAAAAGATGAGACTTTTCAGCCAGAAGAACCCATCCTGCGGACCTGACTCAACCTTGTTAGAAATTAGAACAATAATTTAAACATGACCAGACTGTTTCTTTAAACACCAGCAGTGTTGTTCATATTCACACTAACTCATCCGTTTACATCCTAAAAAGTGATTGCAGTGAACAGAAAATCTTATAAACGGTGGCGTTATTTTTAACTTGCAGTGGTGTCTTTGTTTCTCCTGCTTTGACACTCGCGTCTGCATTTTATGTCGACTTTGCTGTTTTTGTTGCAGGTGGCCACGGTTCCACTGCTTCATTCTGAAAGCAGTAACTGTGGAAAAGGCCCATATTTAATCCAGCCAAATTGAAAAAAAAAAATCAAACTACATATTAGTCTGACAACACTGTGACATTCAGTGTGTTCAAATGTATAAATGGATTGTAAATCAAACAACTATGTAAAAATTGGTTAAAATAAATAAGCTTTTAGCAGGGTAATGCTACAGATTGTAGAAATGTTCATTTTAATCCATGTAGCTGCATTGTTATCGTATGATCTCAACTAATAAGGAGGTACAGACTAGGCCTGTCGCAGTAAACAATAAATCAATTAATCGCATGATAAATTAAAATTATCAACCTCATTTTCATTTATCGGCTTTATCATTTTTTCATTTCTCTCTTTCTACTGAAGACACTGAACGACAAAAGGCTCAACTCCAGTGCTCTCCACTGACCCCTCCCTTTCTCTTTTTTCTTTAAAATCCATTTTAACCGTCCAAACTCGTGTTTTTAGATCGTTAAAAGCAGCTAAGCTGAGAAGCTAAGCTACAAGCTAAGCTAACAGGCTGACCTTTAGAAAAAAAACCTCTGTCTTGTTGAAGCTCCAAAATTCACAGCTGAAACCTGTGCCTTTGGGTAAAAAGTTGATTTCTCTGCAAAAAGAATCTGAGAACTTGCTTACAGATTTTTTAAAAAGCTTTGTGTGAAAAATGCTATGCTAAAGAGCTCAAAGCACACCGAGCATCCGCCATTTTGAGAACTGGGAAACAAGGAAGGAGAGACAGCCCATGTCACGTCAAGGGACCTCCTTCCCATTTTTCTTAAAGAGACACGCTGCTTGCTCCTTCACTATACATCCCTCGATTCAGTCTTATACTGCCATCCAGTGGTCAAAAAAGATACTACACTCAAAACAAATAGACAAACATTTCTTCTTAAATTTGACAATTATTAATTAATGTCAAATTTCAAACAATATTATCGTTTATCACAATAATTTCTGAGGTAATTAATTGCCCAGCAAAATTTGTTATCGTGACAGGTCTAGTACAGACACTTATTTGTTAAAACTAGTGTTCCTTGAAGGAGTTTTTGTTGCCCACCACCTTCAATTCCCAAAGTTTTAAACAAAATACCTTGTACGAGCTGTTAGCGCTCAAAGTATGAGTTATGGATGACTCTCAGCTACTCCCACAACAAATTTCATCTCAATATTTGTAAAATTGACCAAATTATAGTTGCTTTTGTGGTTTTAAGGCTTCGGCAACCAGCTAGAGTCAGGTTGATTACAAAAGGTAATCAGGTGTGGAGTGATTACTTTCTGAGACTTTTATTCAAACCCAGCTAATGGCTCATGAAATATTTTGCTAACAGACAAACAACCACACAAACACACACACACACCTACAGTTACATTGCTTCCTGCATTTCAGGGCAGTAATTTAAAGATATGCATTTTTTTAACCTATCCCTTACTGTCAGACAAAATGTATTACTTTTCTGTGCATGTTTTAAGAAAAACATCTTGAAAGTTTATATTTGCCACTTTTAAATTATGCAGTTGTTATTAGCCCTGTTTCAAGCCAGGAAGACTCAGATCCATCTGAACTAGAACAATCTGCTGTCAAACATCAGGCCAAGAGTGCATGATGCAGCTTTTTCAATACAGGCTCACTTCACACATCCAACACGTCCTTTCGATTACTTATAAAGCACATTTATGGACAAATACAGTTAAAAATAAATGAATATGTGTGCCTGCAACTTAAAAAAAACTTATTAAAGGAGTAAAAATGTGTCCTGCAGTGCATGCAGCTCAAACAAACACAAGTTATAGATCTAAAAGAGCAACGCCACTTCATCACACTGATGTGCGACCCTCAGAAAACACAGGAAGGACACAGAAAATAAACTTTACCAAACAGCAAAGTGACGACGAGGCTGAACGCTGCGTACGGAGCGCCCGGCCTCCACAGGATGTCCATGGCAGCTCTCCTGGCCCCAGAACAAATGATGCTGCAGGATCCAGATCAGGCTGACGCAGCTGGCTGGATACTCCTCAGCACCGCTCGGCCTCTCTGATATGCTGGAGGAGGTTGGAAGGCTGACGTCTGAGGGTCTGGAACTAAAAGGTCCTCCTAAAAAGCTCCAAACTGAGCTGTAGAGAAAAGTTTTAAAAAAGGAGACATAACGGTTAGAACTCACTGAAAAGCACAGGAAGTACAAAGTATAAAGTAACCAAGATGATCCATATTTGAGCTGAAGTTTAGTGAGTGCCTACCTGCTCCTGTGCTCAGCAAGGGCCCCCCTCCCCCAGCCCCCACCCCCACCCGGCTGCTCGTGCAGCTGAGTCAGAGAGGACAG